GTTATACACGCTCAAATTTTCTACATGGATAGTAATGATGAAATAAAAATTCAATGCTCTGTGGTTGATACGTAGACCGCCATCGACGCAGCATATGCGTCGTCCGGTGTATTATCAATTTTCTGTTGACAGCAAACGTGTTAAGGGTTAGAACGAAGCTAAAAAATCAGAAAATCTCCATAGCGATAAACTCTAGTCTACTTTTGTGCTCGTTAAATTTCAGTCTTGAGTCCAAAATCTCAAACTTTTTATTTTCGAAATTCTGCTCCGAAAAATGGATCACTGTACCAATGATACACTCGACCCGCAAACTCCTAATTGAAATAATCAACGTATCAGAATTTATGCACTCCGCGATCTCTTAATTCTCCACTTTTCCAAAACGTCCTTCACAAGCCAGAGATACCGATATCACTACGACCGTAGAATCTGTAGTAACGATCGTGGTTCGACTGCGTGCCGTGGCGACACTAATAGCCCGGTTACGAGCCGCAACAACGATATTTTCGCGAGTCTTAGAGTCGGTAGCGGCCGCAGACCGGTTGGCCAGACCGTAGACGCGCGTCTAATTGCGAGAGCCGCGATTGTCGTGGTTATCGTGCTCGCCTAAGCGTCCAGACCTCGCAACGATTTTAGAGGCTGGCCCTAATCGCGCGATAAACAGCCACCGTTCGACTCTGGCGGCGTTCGCTTTGCCTAGAGACACGCCACCATGCTGCAACGATATGCGTTAGGCTCTTCGTGGCGATTGCGAAGCGGGGAACGCGGTGTTCTTAGTGTACACCTGCTGTTGATGCTGTTCGCTGAAGTAGACTCCTCGATTAACGCAGGAATTCGCGAGGAAATTTTTAAGAATGGGATCTTGCGTTTCGTAGTGTACAGAGTAGGCTGCCTGATGCTCTTCCGTAGCTATGGGGGCACAGAAAATTTTTTGGGGGAGGAAGTGGCAAAACACTGGGGAAAGTTCGACGTTTCTTTGGAAATTTTGGGAGTGCAAGGTGATTATTGTGCGTGCTTAACACTTGAACGTGGCGAATTCTTTCAATTTTGGTATACTTAGATGAGACTGTAAAGAAGTTCTATATTTCAACAAAACTATGGTAATTTCTGTAATATAAAGTAAGAAATCTGAAATCCGTTAAAAGAAAAATGTACAAGTTCGTTTAAAAAGAGATAAGTGATGTTAAAAGAAAATTGCATTTATAAGAAAATTATTCTCTCCTTGAGACCATCAAAATTAATTCTTACGTCTTCAAGACGTTCACAAGACCTCTGCGTGCTATCTCGTGCACTGTAGCAACAAACAACTAAAATGCAGATAAACTGATAATAAACTTTCGAGTGACACAGCGTTCTAAAAGCTTAACCATCTGTTCTTAAAGTGGACAATAACAGAAAGCCCAGAAAAATCGTTAGCAAAATCTCCCCTATTCTATCACGTCGCGTCACCACCAATTCCTCTGACACGCTCCAAACAAATCTATTTCAGAAAATAGATTTCTATTCCAGATACTCTCGAACAACATTATTCCACCTGTAAAACTCACTAAAAACTTAGACGCTCTTATAGGCACACTATGAGAGTGCCGAGGCGAATGAAGATGGCGGCAGTGAGAGCTAAGAGCATCTTCGTCTCTCTGTTGCAGGATCTCGCGAAGGACGCAGGGGCCTGCGACCGGACTGTAAATACGCTCTGCTGAGAGGTCCCAGGATTTATTAGCACGATCTCGGCTCCAGGAGGAGAGAGAGGCGGAACCAGGAAGAGGAAGAGAGGCACGTGAGACGAGAAGCGGTGGAAGAGGAGTGAGGAGGAGAGAACGGTAGGCGAGGCCGATGGTTGCGCGCAAAGAAACCAAGAAGAAACTGCTTCCACAGAGTGAAGATGGAACGGCGTGGGGAGGGAGAGGGAGGAGGAGGAGGAGGAGCACAGGGGTTCGTCCTTGAGATACATAAATCGTCTCCCCGGTTCCCTGTAAGGTGTGCGACTGCGAAAGACGAATGGGGCGGCTGTGGCGCGCGCGAGCGCGAGCACGAGCCAGCGCCAGACTGGCTTAGAGGAGATTTAGGAATTAGGGGAATTACGTCGAAGTGCCTGCTTACGCACGAGTACGTAAGGGAAGAGCGAGAGAGATATCCGAGGAAGGAGAGAAAACGTGTATCCGAGTTCACATCCTCTGGGACGAAAATGCAGCCAGGTTTTTGTCCCTTCTCGAGCATAGTACGAAGGACAGAGAGGAGGAGAGTTCGACGCGCGATAGAAAAAGATCGTCCAACCTTTACCCCTCGTATCACACGCGCTCAGAGGATCTCTCCTTAGTCAACCAATTGTCCTTTTTTCTCAGCCGTCGATCGATCGATCGGTTCCACGCGCGTTTCTGTCTTCTGTAAATAAAAGAAAGGATCGTCGTAATATGCACGCACTACCGTTCGAGACTTGACACAGGTTACACGCGTCAGAGGAGGACGATCGGTCGTCGACTTTTTGTACATAGAAACGACGATGGAAGAAGAATATATCAGCGAGGCTTTCGTTCCTTCGTTCGTTTCATTCGCGGGGATCCTGCCAGGAGGCTTCGAGAACACCGCGAACAACCGTCACACGGGCAACGTGCAAAGTAGCAGCCATCCGGGGTTCGTTCCTAACCTCAGAGACACGAGCGTCGCGAATTTCTCCCGCTGGAAGATCAATTTTCACGAGGACACCACGTCGATCCTCGAACGACGGCGGAGTTAACGAAGATTAAAGAACGAGCAACCATTGTACAGAGAAGTTCTTTATCGTCCTTCGAGCGTAGTCGTTTGACGAGCCGAAAGCTCGAGGAAGGTGGATCGTCGCCTGGCCGCTACTCTATCCTTAAACTACCAGTAAACTCTTTAATTAAACTCCCGATGGAATATTCCTCGTGTACACGACAGAGACCGTGGATGATTTAGCCGGCGAGTGTGTGGATCGTCGGAAAATTCGAGTCGAGATTTGCCGAGGATATATATATATATACACAGAACGGTGTACGAAATTACACGACCGCCGGAAGTGAAGAAGGCGCTCTCGTGTGCGCAGGAGAGTCCACTCGCGAAGATACGATCGTCGATATTCGACGCCATTATTCACACGGTGACGTGCGTGAATGAATTACACGCGGATACGAAGAGGAGAGAGAGAGAGAGAGAGAAAGTGGGTCTTTTGGGGGCAAGCAACGGTTGAACTAATTAAAAAGTAAAAATTCGTCCTTTTTCGCGCGGGCACCGTGCACCCGTGATCCACGAAGGAAGGGACTTCCGGTTTCGCTGGACTTGAGACGACGGCGCGCGTTCACCGCCACGAGGATTCGACGACGCGAAAACGCGATCGTACCTTTAATTAGCATCGTACTTAAACAATACCCCCCTCGGTTAATTTCACACCGTCTCTCTGTGCAATATATGTAGACATTGTTTTTTAAACGTACGCTCGAACGCGTCGTTTCTGTTCTCTTCTTTTCTCGTGATCGCGCGCTGTTAGACGAAGGCCAAAGTGGAAGTTTCCTTCGCGAGGCTTTAGCAAGTGTACGCTAGTGTGTGTGCGTGCGTGCGTGCGTGCGTGTGTGTGTGAGTGTCGATCGTGATCTCTTTGCTCTTGGGTCGTTGATTTTCGATGGATTCGAGTTTGGCCTCGCGTGCACAAAGCTTCTACGATCGAATAGCAATTTCTCGACGGGTCACGTCGGTTTTTGCTCGACGGCGGGTTAGCGAGGTGCGCGGTACTCGAGATTGTTGATATTTTTTTATATTATACGTATATCGCGTAAATCATATCCCTCCTTTCGAAGAGAGAGCCCGATCGTTGAACGGGTGTGGCGAGTCGATCGTCCCGCGATCTTTGCCGCGGAGGAGTCGGAAGCGAGGGAGAGTGAGCGAGCGTGAGAGACGGAGTGGGAAATAGGGGCGGAGGAGAAACGTGGAGTAGAGACAAAAAGAAGAAAATCGACTATCATTTTGTACTTTGACATATGTAAGCGAGTGTGAGTGAGTGTTATCGTGGGACGCCTTTATTACGTCGTTTGCGTCGCGAGAAAGAGTGAGAGAGAGAGAGAGCAGGGGAGCGAAAGGTAAAGGAAAAGAATTGAGAGAGAGCGTGAGGGTGAGAAAGAGAGCGATACGAGAAATTGTACATTGTTTTGTAAAGAGTACATTTATTTATATCTGTGATAATGGGCGAGGTTAAAGAGAATTAAAGGGGGAAAAGGAGGAAATGCAAGCGAGAGAAACGAGAGAGAACGAGAGGAAGAGCGAAAGTGTGAGGTGTATGTTGTTAAGAGAGAAATGGGGGAAGAAAGAAGAAGAGGAATGGAACAGAAATGCGAAGAGGAACGTTAAGGTGTTGGTGTATACTTTTGACAAAGATGGTCGGTGCTCGTGCATTCGTTGACACGTATATCGTAATAGAATAATTCATAGAGACTCGATCGTGGTTTTTGTAAATAATTATCGCAGCGTGTAGCCAAGAGGGGGTCGAAGTGTGCACCTTTCTGCGAATCCAGGCGAGAAAAAAAAAAGAAAATGAGATAAAAAATAAAAGAAGAATCGTAAAGTGACGGAAAGGAAGTAAACGAACAACAGCAACAAATTATGCGAGTTTCGTGTACACGACCGCACCCTCGACACGGGAAGAAAAATGAGAGAGAGAGAGAGAGAGAGAAAGAGAACTATCTGTTGTGAATATATATGATACA